TCCACATTTAAACCCACCAAAAAAATCATCTGAATGATTAAATATTAAAATTCAAATAAACTATTGTATATTATGATATGAGGATGTAGATAATATTATATTATAATTTGACATTTTTTTTTTTTTTTGTAACCGCCAAGTTTAAACTTTTGTAGTTTATATACCTCATTTAATAAAACAAATTGTATCAAATTATTTTTAATAAGTAGCTAAAACTAACTAACTAACAAATCCTCTATCAAGTGACAAATAATTTTTATAATATTATGTTGCCTAAATAAATAATAAAATTGATATCCCGTTACGCTGCCATTATATTTCTGAAGATAACAATTCGAGTCGATGTGCAATAACCTGTATATATCCACCATGCTGGTTAATCTAAATTTGTAAATCTACTATTGAAAACGTTGTTTTACATTAAAACTGGAAATAATTTAAGTTTTAAAACCTGAAGCGTAACGCAACGTATAACTTTGAACAAAATGATAAAATTAGCAAAAGAGTCAGAGCCACGCGTCATCGTTGACTTTGATAGGTCAGTTATATTTAACAACACAAATATAATAATAATTCATTGTAAATATACTTTTTATAAATAACTCGAGATCGAATGTATTAATAACTAATAAATAACAGAAATAAAATAAAATAAGATTGTTTTGATTGAGTTTATAAAACTGACAAATGTTAGAACAATTGAAAAACGCAATACATGGGACAACATGATAAGTGTCGGTGAGGTGGGGATGGATCAGTAACTGATAAGAAAGATTGATAAGAAATTCAGCTGATAAGAGATAACCAACTGATAAGGGACAATAGGTTGGTTAAAAATCAATTAATGACAACATTAATGGTAAAACAAAAACGTATAAAAGTAGTCACATTATTATCAAATAAAAACACAGAGCACATTAAATCGAACGACCATAGCGCTCATAAGAAATAAAAACATAGAGCACAGAGGTAATAACTTGTAAAAAAGAGGGTTTAACACTCTCTTGGACGGTGTAACGCCATTAATATCCCGGGAGACAAGACAGTTTTTTTTTTTTTTAACAAAGTGAGTCTTACCTAGTTTTCATAATATCGTTCTGGTAAAATATTATTAAAGTGGAATAATTTAATTACACTTTGCAGTTTGTAGAACTAAGCGCAGGTATACTCTTATGTCTAGCGCCTGAGTTTTCTTTGTGAGCGACTAAAAAAAAAATGACTTGACAGTCTGCACGTCAACGCCTATATTGAACTTAAACCAAACTCTCGGAAAACATGAAATTTTTAATTGTACGCTGTGATGTAATTATATATCTTGAATTAGGTTCTTGTACTGAGCAAACCGCAAAAAACATGTCGCTGTTCAAAAATCACGCCATTCCCCACTTTTGTTGTAGACTAAAACTAGATAATCATCTCATTAAAAAAAAACAATCTCATAAAAGCTTAAAGTCCCTATTCTAGAAATCGTTGTCTAAGTGGAAAATTCACTATTAACCTCTTTAAACCCAACGACCGCTATTTGTATATTTTTGTTGTTTTACTTAAATTATAAAAAAACAAAATATGTGCGCATGTCACGTTGCACGTTGAATGAAAACAATTCAACATACAACTTAATTCCTTAGACCGGAAAAAAAACAACCCGGTTTAATGGAAAGTTCAATACATACTAGCGGTAAGTATAATAATAATAATAATAAATAAACAACCACCCCAGTTAAACATCTTATTATTTCCATTTAACATGCTACCTGGCTAGCACATCACGTGCAAAAGGTCAAAGATGGTTCTTTGGTAGGTAACTGGGACAAGCTTGGTTAATCAAATAATCGGGCAAGTAAAAGATATAATATAAAAATTATTTTCCGGTCAGGAGTAAGAAAAAATGTCAATAAAATTAAACGCATAATGTTAGTATGCGAATCGTTATGGAATAATAGCAATCGAAATTGCTGTGGCAGTTTTTAGTTTGAAAAACAAAAATGTCAATTGAGAATTGTGTAAAAGATATTTTTATGACCATCGATCCACCGAGACGCTTATTTCACAAAAAAATGACCAATTTTAAAAAATACAACAACGACATAAACCCATTACTGAGGCTAATCTTTGCCCATTCTACGTCACAGCTGTTGTAAAAAAACAATTACATAATAAAACTATTCCGACCACCCAAACATGTACAATAATGTAAATTAAAAAATAGTAACTGACTTTTATAACTGCACGGTAAAACGAAATACAAATAATAATAATTGTAATTATAAACTTGTTATAGTGTCTTAAACGCAGGGCTTTTTAGACGGTTTATTTTTTTTATAATTACAGACCGAACAACAATAATTTCTTGAGAGCCAGTTTTAGGCGCCAATAAAATGAAATACAATTAAAACCGACTAAACTAAAAACGTTTTCTGTATTTGACTCTGTATTTGCTGTTAACCAATAATTAAAAACAAAAAATTATACTCGTGTAAAGTATTAAATTTAATTATAAAAAACAAACCCCCCACCCCCCACCTAATATTATATTAGTCCATTCAAACGATAAAAAAAAATAACGAAGGTTTGACGAATTGAAATTGTTTTTTAATTATATATTTTTTATTTTCGTCACTGAATGCGTTTATTTAAAGACAATTGGAAGTAAATTAAAATGATTTTAATTTTTGATTAATTTAAAGTCGAACTCTGGTATTTTTTAAATGAAGACTAATCAATTAAATCGAAATTGTTTAAACTTGTTTCTTTACTATACAATTAATAAAACAAAGTTTAATAATGTAAAATTTAATAATATTATCATCATAACTCCCAGCCGAATAAAATCGGTCCTTTTGAAATATTATTAAACAAGAAGTTTGTAAAATAATTATTGTTGTATTAAAAAATCTGAAAATTTAATTTAAATATAAAACGTTTAATATGATTTTAACACAATCTTTATAACTTCATACTCAATATAAGAAAAATGTAATAAAATCATATTGAGAAGCCTATCCAGCCATTACTATAAGTATGTATATAATAGATAATGTACATCAGTACTATACAGCGTTTTGAAAACAAACCGTTAAAATTGATTGATTTGTTTATGTTATTGTTTGTTTTATTTAGAAGGCCAAAGAGTTTGAAAAGAAGCGGTTGGATTGTAAAAATCATATAAAACGTTGTCACCCATTAAAATAACAATTAAGAAAATCCTCTTAAATAAATCATGTGATATATCTGTATCTTTACCGGTTGATTCTTATATTTAGTTATAAACAATTTTTTTTATTGGACAAATTAGTTCACTTGATGTTTGCATCTGGTGAGGAGAGAGATTATTTACAACGGCACGTCATCATCGTCCACCTACACTTGTATGCTAATGATCAAAATTATAAAAAAAAAATGAATTACTTCAAATTGATCATTTTGAACAAGTCGTCAGCAGATGAGTTCAATAATCTCAACAAAAAAAAGCTTTTTTTTTAAGAATCTGTTGGTCTGAACAGTTATATGTTTTATCGTTTCGCGGAACAGCCGATGTTGTTAATATTATATTACCATGTATATTGTATAATATGCGATGGAATAGATTTATTTATAATTCAAGTAATTCGAGAATAAAGCTGTGGTTATAATGACTTGAAAATTAAAGGTAAGCGTATTCTATATCGGGTGTTTGGTTACTGGGCAAAATAATAACGTGTTCTCGAAAATCAAAAAGTAGATAAAGTTACAGAAACTAATTGTACAAAGAAAATCGTTTATCGCGTGCCCTAAGCCCGAAAGTATCAATACTATTGTTATAACTGTATTATTATTATTATGGTGATATTATTTTACCTATTAATAATTGTTAAAATACGAATTTCAATAAAACATAGGCAATGGATTTGTATTAAAACAAAGTGTTTGCGATAGTAAATAAATGAACAGCAAGAATCGCGACATTGAATTATTTTCATTTTAGTTTGCTTACTTACACGGCTGTCGTAAATACTACAAAACCACTAAAATCTGTTTAATATTACATAATATGTAATAAAAAAGTAAAAATTAAGTATGGTAATTTATAACCAAATTTGGAGTAAAGTATGTGCGTGTGTTATCATTCAAATGGTGTTCAGTATTTCTTGTATAATTTCATAAAATAAAAAAATACTAAAATATAAATTAAATTCTAATTTGTAATTTCTGACACACGTTTTACCGGTGTAATGAAAAATAGTTAAAAAACAACAAATTAAATTTAAATAGGCTCCTTAGATCAATGTCACTCTTTGGTTAAATCCTATTGAATATTAAAACATCTATTTTAATGTGTGGAAAAATGGCATTCCCAAAACTTAAATTGAAAAAGTTATGACAATTTTGGGGGAAAAAAACTAACACGGAGCCTTTGGAAAACTAAGATTTCAAATCCGGTTTGCCAAAATTAAAAACAAAAATTGAGGGTAGCGCCTTCTTGAACAAAGCTGCAGTAAAATGCTAATAAAAAAAAATTGAACACTGCATTTAAAATACTTTTTTTAAGATGTGTGGATTCAACTTAACCTAGTTATAGCACTAGTTAATTATTTGGTTTAAATGTTAAACACTAATAGTTTAAATAAAAACACTACATATACCAACCACCACTGACAGGGGAAATACTCATCTACTTTATCTACTCATTTAACAAATCAAATTAATACTAATGGGATCGCTTAAATGAATTTTAAAATTTCAATCTTATCAGTTTAATTTTTAAAACTACATACATTTACCGATCCAGTTATGGGGAAGGGGACGGTGAGAACAATTTGTTTTTCTTCTGGGTACAACAATTGCAAAGTATCCAACCGAAACAATTTGTTTGGCCTGTCAACAGTAGTAATTGGTGGGGGGGGGGGTATTACAGAGCCGTAGCTAGAGGGGGGTTTAGGAAGGTATGACACCCCTCCACTCGGAAGATTCAAGTATATAGGATATTGAAAGATTACCTACTCTTCAGTTTTAGACATTAGCGGTTACATAATATGTATAGTGGATGTACATTTAATAACAAATCACATTTATCAATAATATGATAATAATTGGAAGGTAATTTTTTTTTTTCTATTGTAATATGAAGTTTTTTTTTTTTTTAATGTTAACATAAATGTAACGTATTTACGCGTAACTTAGGAAAATCATAAATAAATTAAAAAAACATCTAAAAAAATCTATTCACAATTTTAAAATAAATGGACAAAAACTGTTGTAACTGTTTTAACGGCAACTATTGTGAAATTATAATTCCACATTTACCGAAAAACGGTGTTATAAAAAAATTATTTTTTATTAATTTATAAAGCTCACCGAGTGACGATGATTATTACTAAATTACCACACAATTACCTAAATTACCCGTTAGTATAGTATATACTACTGCCATTTCGTTCAACAATTGTTATTAATTACCATTATTTCTCACTAACAACCGACTACGTTAACCGTCTTACGAAAATACCCGAAAAACATTTTAGTCGGCAATTTTTTTTTCACGTCCCCGCGTGAGCGCCGGCCCCGGAGGGAGGAGGATAAATGACCCTCCCCCGTCGGGGGTTAAAATAACACACACACACAAAATTCAAAAAAAAACCAACGACACCGATATTATTCGACCCTCTGCCCGTTTAAGCCCGAGCGCCGTAGGTACGTGTGTGGTGTGTAATAACTAAGTAAAATAAAATATATATATAAATACTAAAAAAAAAAAAAAAAAAAGCAAAACGGTGTACTTATTATAATTATTATTATTATCCATTACATGACGTACTTGAACGAAAGCGGCGTACGCGGTGGCCAGCACAGGGATGGCGACGATAAGCAACAGATGGCTCATGATGGTTGAACGAGAGGTCCTCGTTTGGCGTGGCCCGATACGTGGTTACGGTACAAATGACAGTGACCAAGTGACAGCCATGCTTATATACGGCCACCAAACAACCCCTCCGGCACACGGTGGTGCGATGTAGCGGCTCGCACACAAACGCGCAAAGGCCCGTCGCCGCCCTCGCAGCCCCACAAGACACCACCGCGGCGTGATCTTGTATAATAATAATAATAATAAAAATAATACACTCATGTGCCTTTTTGGCCGTGGCGACCCTTTGCGGGGGATGCCGCCGACCGTTGTCTAAACGCAAGAATTTAAATAAAAAATTTAAAAACCGCATCGACCGATTTCCACTATTGTATTTAATGTAAATTATAATAATAATATTATATATTGCTCTGCGTGTACAACGTCCAAATGGCGGAAATTTATAGCGTGCCAAAGAGCACCTGACCGAGTATCGGGCCACGCCAAACCCACTATCTTTGAACCGTCTTGAGCCATCTGTTGCTTATCGTCGTCATCCCTCTGCCAGCCACCGCCGCATGCCGCTGGTGTACCACACGTTATAATAGATGTTTTGATATATTCAACACGGTCTAACCAAACAGTGACATTGATCTAAGGAACCTATTCAAATGTAATTTGTTGTTTTTTAACTATTTCATTACACCGGTAAAACGCGTGTCAGAAATTACGAATTAGAATTTAATTTATTTTTCAGTGTTTTTTTATTTTATGGAAATTATACGAAAAATTATTGAACACTATTTGAATGTTAACACACGGATATTATACTTTACTCCAAATTTGGTTATAAATCACTATACTTAGTTTCTTCTAATTTTTTATTACATATTATGTAATATTGAACCGATTTTAGTGGTTTTGTAGTATTGACGTCATCCGTGTAAGGTAAGCATACTAAAATGAAAATAATTCAATGTCGCGATGCTTGCTGTTCATTTATTTATTATCGCAAACATTTTGGTTTTAATACAAATCCATTGCCTATGTTTTATTGAAATTCGTATTTTAACAATTATTAATAGGTAAAATAATATCACCATAATAATAATAATACAGTTATAACAATAGTATTGATATTTTCGGGCTTAGGACACGCGACAAACGGTTTTCTTTGTACAATTAGATTCTGTAACTTTATCTCCTTTCGATTTTCGGGAACACGTTATTATTTTTCCCAGTAACCAAACACCCGATATAGAGTACGTTTACCTTTAATTTTCAAGTCATTATAACCACAGCTTTATTCTCGAATTACTTGACTTATAAATAAATCTATTCCATCGCATATTATACAATATACATGATAATATAATATTAACAACTTTGGCTGTTCCGCGAAACGATAAAACATATAACTGTTCAGACCAACAGATTCTTAAAAAAAACAGCTTTTTTTTTTGTTGAGATTATTGAACTCATCTACTGACGACTTGTTCAAAATGATCAATTTGAAATAATTATTTTTTTTTATAATTTTGATCATTAGCATACAAGTGTAGGTGGACGATGATGACGTGCCGTTGTAAATAATCTCTCTCCTCACCAGATGCAAATATTAAGTGAACAAGTTAGTCCAAAAAAAAAAATGTTGATAATTACGTATAAGAATCAACCGGTAAAGATACAGATATATCACATGAGCTTTTGTACTTATTATACCATCTACTAGAGCAATCGAATAGTTTAAATTATATTCTATCAAAACAAATCATTTTACTATAGGCTATACAGTATGCATCATTCGTAAAACGCTGATATATAAAATTAATCTGGATGTTGTCTTTGTAATTGATATACTAGAGAAAAGTCCATAACAAACAGCTACCTGGTATTTTTTTTTTTTTTGTAAAAGCAATTTGTTTTTATATCAATAATACTATACCGTAAAATGCCACAAATTCTCAGATTTTACCTTAGAAACAAATTGATTTTCCATCATATCCTTGTGTGATGATTTTTAATTTTCATTGTTTATAATAACACTATTACAATAATAAAAATTAAAAAAATTAAAGTAATATTCAAATTTTACTCGACCTGTCTTTTGTAGACGTTGACACTATAATTAAAATAGCAATAATTTTCAAAAATTGAAGCTCCATTTTTAAGATGTAGTCGAACTTTATTGCTCTCTTTAAAAAAATCTGACTAATTTGTTATTTATATTAATAGAAGTGCATTTATTTATTTTTAATAATAGTAATCAGTAGAGCTCGGATGTTTATGACTATTCACGTGTTTTTAACACAATCAAAATATTATACAAATTCGATTTACGACGTCTAGATTTCCAATCTACAAACTTATTTTGCATATTTGAATTTGTTGAGCATATATTCGCATATATACTGACTATTTATATTATGTAGATTTAGTAGCATATTTGCATAAGTGTAATATTAAAATTCTTTTATTTTTTAATTATAATATTTTGTCGTTTTACAATTTAAATTTGAAATATCGAAACAAAACAATCTATTATGAAAACTAAACGTATGGGTGTTATGGCGGTGAGACAATGTAGGCAAATGTATCGTCACAGTGGTGAAGGCTAACGAGTGACGTTGCCTATCATTGTGTGTGTACACAAAACAAACTTATAAAAACATAAATAAAATAATATAAAAACTCAAAAATATAATGCACCTGAGAAATGGTTATCCAGCAAATAATTTCCCATCTTTGTACACATCGCCTACTTCGTATATAATATACTATATATGCTAAACATATAAATCGGTCAAGCAGTAATTTTTAGTCTTTTTTTTTTTTTTGTTTTAGGGTAAGGGAAGAGTCACATAAGTTGTCTCATGAAAAAAATACAGCCAGAACCGCCACTTTTGAGTTTTGTTTACATTCGATATTTAGTTTGTTTGCAGCAGTCCGCGTAAACGTTGTATACTTGTATTTTTATTCATATTTGTTTGAATCGCGTTTTTTTCTAAATACATATAATATAAAAAAATGCCGAAAAATTCTTTTGGTAGTTTTGTTAAAGAATTTAGCGAACGTGTAGTTCAGTTCCAAAGGTAAAGTGCTATTTTGTGTCCGCATTTAAACGGTTTTTGGTCACACAACACTTGAAAACTGCAAAGCAAAGTGCAACCGTTATTAACAGGAAAATAAAAAAAAAGAATGATTTTAACTGTGATCTCTCACTCGAGCTTTACTTTCGGCTAACATTGCACTCAACAAGGTAAGCAATTACAAATTTAAGGAGTATCAACACAATATCAGTACATCGGTATACTTAAGGATCCCTAGTTATTTTCATGTCCGCTCGCTTTCTTTTAAATTTTTGACACAAATAAAAAGTGGTCGTTTGTAACTTTGGACCTCGTTGTTTTTCAATACTGAGCGACCACTTTGCACTTGTGTAAAAGTAAAAGTAAACGGGCGGACACGAAGAAGGTTTGACTTAGGCGGAAACACTTGGAATGGAACGGTCGCTATGTGCAAAATAATATTTAAGATGTTATATGCTGGTAAGTTGACTATTTAAAAATGGGGGTTTTTTTTTTATAAATAACTTACCTATGTAAAAAATTGTATTTTTTAATATTGTTCCAGCCAAGTCGGCTATTTAAAAACGGTTTTTTTTATTAATCACAATTACGTACCGTGTAAAATTGTGTTTATAACGTGCTAAGTCGGCACTCGTTTAAAAAACTTTACATTTTACTAAAAGCATATTATATACGAGTCCACGTCGAGCTGGTTTTGATTTTTATTGAGGAAAATCCATAACACTACTTATGACATATCCGAAGTGTCTATATATTATGTGTTTTTTTTTAATTGAAACACATAATTAAGGTCGTCCACCGGTTTGAACCGGAGCGTTTTTTCGTTGAAAGTGTTCCACCGCTTTAACACACATATTATTATACCTATTCCATACAAACAACTGCTCAGTTGGTGGACACAAACTGGTATTTTATGGAAAACATTTTCAAACGCACTATTGTCGTCAAAACCAATAATAATATATTTTTCAACCATTCGGCTGTGTATATATTTTTTTCAAATCAATTCCGACTTGTTTTAGCGAAACGCAAGCAGTATTTTTTAAATTTTTTTTTTGAGTTGACGGCTACTGTTGTAAACCGTAAAATTGAAATTCTGGTTTAAGGCCTACCGACGACGTAGAGTGTATAGGCAACGATGCCCGTTGGAAAACTCGGGCTTTGCTCATATAACTAGTTTTTTTCTTACTTGTTCTCTATTCTAGTTTTAACGCGTTTCATCCTTTTCGTAATAATATTTAAAATTATACGCTCATATTAAAATCCTGCACTGTCGGTTACATAATGGTAACACATGTATAGTTATAGTTAACTTACCCGTCTTATTGTTTACCTAAATATGATGGAAATCGTGAAATTTAATAACCAACTGTGAGTTAATTAACAATTGTATCGTTAAATAAAAATTAATTAATTAATTAACGATTAAACGATAAATTGCATCGTTGATTAATTAGTATTTCCTTTGATTTTTACGTTGGCGTTTAAATGAATTTAATGTTATTATGTACACTTCAACACGCATCAAGTAGGTATATTATATAATATATATTTTTGTTTATGCATCTCTACCTATGTATATACAATAAAGTTAAATTGCAGTTATTGGATATTTTATTTTTACCGTTGATATTTTTGCAATTTTGTGCGATAAAATAAATATTTCCAAAAAAAATTGTTTTATACTTATCATAGCGGTTTATTCGTTACAATGCTCAGGTAGTGTTTTGCTTGTTTTTACAATATATTTTTACATAGCTATATGCATTTGCCAGTTACATAATAGCGAATGATTTATTAACATACAAGAACAAGACAAACTTGTTCGATTTTAAACAATCGTAATTGACTACACTTGAATAATTGTGATAAGAAACGTGGGTTGTTTTTTTCCAGAAAAAAATAATTCCCAGTGTTGTTGTACGTGTCTTGTAAAATATGTCCAGCGAAAGTTTTTGAACGTTTTCTAATAAATGTTAACCATTATTTTGGCGAACCAATGAGAAAGAACAAAAGATATTATGAGAGATCCTCGAGTGCCAAATATGTAAGCTTAGCTTTCAAGGTATACTCCATATATGCCAATCCGCCCCTATACACGGGTCAACTACATAATATATGCAATGACAATTACCCGTTTAATGTTACATAACAATGTGCTTGAAAACCGGGTTTTTCTTAAAAAAAAAAAAAACAAATGACAAATGTGTGCGGGCAGCCCCACCCCCTCGCCCGGGTCTTGGGACAGGTTAGCCTCACTAATTGAATATCAATAGCGTTTCAGTTATCTTAATCGGTGTGTAAAGATAGCGTTATCATGTCAGCGTTGTCACATCCGATCCGGCCTGTGTTTCTCTCGCGTTATCCCCAACGGTATTGACAGCTGCTGGTAAGTCCGGATGTTAGCAAACTTTTCTCGAACACAACTCTAAATCTCTTTTGTAACAAGAAATGCAAAAAAAAAAAATTATGCGAATCAGATAAAACGGATTTTAAACGTAAACGCTGGTTTGCCAATCGTTCGTCATGGGTACTGTTTACTGACAACCATTAAAATCGACTGCTTGTGATCCTCAGCCTAACTAATTGGCGTTTTACACACAGTTTTTCAAAAGCTGCTTCTATAATTGAAAACGGTTTTATGAATATTCTCTGGAGTTTCTCGTGTAAAGCATAATTTGTAGACTAGTGTTATTCGCTCTGTATAATTTATTTTTTAATCAAACCACTGGATCATCGGTGGTACAATTCGAGTTAAAGTAATATGCAAAATACCAGGCCAGTGTTGCCTACTTCAGCTTCCATACACTCACTTCTATTAAACTGGTACTAGTTTAGAAACATGCATCCTGAAAGGGGCCCAAAGTGATTTAATTTAAGCCACTCGCCAACACACCCACGTTGAATACCGTAAAATTTAATTGAATTCTGTGTATAATTTATCCTCTCTATTTTATTATAATATGCATGTACGAGGATTGTGGTATTGGGGCTACCTACATATTATTTTATGTTTTATACTTAACAAACTTTCATACTTTATGCTCAGACTGTGAGAATACACCCTTAATACACCTTAGACTCGGATAAACATGCCTGATTGTACGCAATAGACCGTTTTCTTAACAAGGCATTGTATAACATTTTATCATATTACTATATGCCAATTACTAGACTTGTTGTACAGTTTATTTTAATCAAGAACGAAATCAGTTTTTACTCAACACAGACTATTGTACCAACGATAATGGGTATGCTGAGATAGCATTACAGAAATGTAAATTTATTTAAAAACATCGATCGACTTTCCCGGTTTGCTCTTCGCCATTTTGTACACGATCAAGTCAAGTGTCTTATCTTAAGATCCGAAGTGAGCTGTTTTTTGTTTATTTTTCGACTACCCTAAACAAGGATCGAGGTCGTTTCGTCGACAAGGTCTAAAACAACTCGACTCTAGTTTGTTTAGTCAGATGTACTTGGATCGTGTGATGTAGGTGTATACTTCTAGTATACCTTCTACACCGGATGGATAGTCTTCTACTTAAGTGAAAACGATATAGTTGAAATTTCTGTCAACTCGCGGTCTCCGAAGAAGTCACCAAACTGTCACGGGTCTGATGAGAAACCAGCAACGTTCATCGTTATTAGTTATTATTACAGCGTTTGATTTAATCCTGATCAGTAATGGTAATATAAGGATCTATTATATAAGTCAAAACTATAAAACAAGGTTGTCGGCTGCCCATTGCGATAGGCACTTCGAAGAAGTGATATTTTAATTGAAAAATCTTTATTACCATGTTATTTGTTATTCTCTCGTTCATTTCGTTTATTATGATTTTATATTTATTTTCATAATTGTATATTTATATTATTAAAAAAGATAATGTCGCCCAGTCATCAAAAAAATTTCATTCACTAGGCGAGCAAAATACTTAACTGGGCGACGTCTTTGTTGTTGGCTACAAATAAAAATAAATTACAGGCTAATAACCTCATAGAAGCAGAAGCCTTATAAATAACTTCCCGGAATAAAGTATAACAGTATATTTTATTCTCAACTTTTCACAAAAGAATTTGACCCAAAAGAAAAAATTCTATGATATTTATATATATAACCAATTACTATTGTTACTATTGTTATAATTACTAATGTTGTTATAAGGCAAGAAATGAATGATTTCTTTATAAACAGTTCTGAACTCCTAATGTGACAAATTCGGTTTTTAAGAGAAACACTTTTAAGAAAAAAACATTTTAAAGATCGGATACCGATTTTGACGCGGGCAAGTGCATTAATACGACTAAAAATTTTTATGTAAGGGTTTATACATTAAACAAAAAAAACTTTTTAATATACCTATCCGCAACCACGTGCATCATAACGATGCGACTGAACTATAATACTGATTCTACAAAAGAAGAAATCGCTCTAAATGAAACTATATGAAAAGATGGAAACTTTTGCCCTACTCAAATAATTAAGGTCATAATATACGTTTTATGTGCATTCATAAATAAGTTATTTGTGGTCGATTCATTACTTTTTATGGGCTCGCCCACGAGGTTCGAGTTTAATATGCGATTGTAATGTTTATGGGGAAAATATTTTGCCAACTTGAAAATGGTACACATTTGTTTATAACACATTATTCATTAATTGTATCGTAGGCGTTTTGAACGTTGACGTTGACGCCTAGCTTTATAATCAGCATTTATTTACTAAATTCTAAAAAACAAAAGTGTAAGCATGCATTACATGAATTAAGTCTATTCTGTTATTACATTTCAACGACCTGAACAAAGAAGAAAAAAACTAAACGGGAGTATAATTTATTCAATTTTTTTTTTTTTTGAAACTGTTAGATTAAAAAAACTGTTGTTTGACTTTTCACCAAAGACTACCGCAGTTTCCAATCAAGATTTACTTTCTTTTTCGGTTTAACAAAAAAAAAAAACAATTTCCGAGGACCCAGGTTGGGTATTTTTTTTTTTATTTAAAATTGTTCATTACCTTTTGTCTTCACCGCCTGGCCGTTGTCGGTGAAATATGTATAGGCACTATCGGGCGCGATGGGAATTAATTATTAATAATAATATTGCGTATCGATTTTCAGCTGTACGAGTCTTCTGGCTTGAAGAAATAAACAAGACGGAACTTTAAAATACCACCCAAAGTAATAATGACTGCGCAAGAATCGAATAGGACGGACTATTTCTATTTCTATTTTTTTTTTTTTTTTACTATTACTTTCTTTGTTCATGTTTTTTTTTTTTTTAAACGTTTAATTATTAGACCATTCGATAAGAGGCGTACCTGCTCGTCCACGGTCCGATAACCGACACGGACACACATGTCATACTTACCGGCGACTTCATCGCTGACTTTTGCCGGGTCGGCTAATAAATACCGGATGACCCTGTCACGGTTACCGTACACCAACAATGAACCGCATACATGCAACATTGGCGTTGTTGGCGGCCACGGCTGCCGTCAGCGACGGTCTTAATAGACAATCGACGAGCAAAGAGCGCTCATCGGCCGCCAGTTTTTCCAAGTGGATAGCGCAAAGGATCGACAACACCTTGAGGCGGTTGAACGACCAACAAGACTTGCAAGTGGTCGACGGCGTGCACTTGATCAAAACCAAAACCTATTCCCCCCGACCAGCCGGGTAAGTAGTGGATGTGCAATTTTGAAAATCACCGTCGGGTGTGTTTAAATGTCCCTAGTTTTGAAATTAGCACAGCCCCCCCCCCCCGCCCGGGGCCTAATTTAGACATTCCGACGGGCAAAATATCTTCGGGGAGCCTCTTTCCACAAACGCAACACCAACCTCTCCAAATAATTTTCTCTATTTTATTGCCAAGTAGTAAAAAAACAAGTAGTACTACTAAGAACCACTAGAATGATGATAATAATAATAATAATCGTTATAGTAATGCCGATTTTTTTTTTTATGAAAAGGTAGCGACTATAAAAATAATCCCAAATTTTTACCTTCACAGCTGACAGCTGACTGAAAAAACACAAAGCCACTCCAGAAAGCATATTAAAAAACATCTAGGGTTTTATTTTATGTTCACATTAATTTTCTTCTTAGCCTAATTTATACAGCTATTCCTTCTCATAACTCTAGAAATCTTCTGACTTTTCCAACTCTCTATACTTAGGACCCTCCAAAGTTATTTTCCTCCTAAAATATGGCAATAATTATGATATTTTTTCACACAACTAGTAATATTATTGGGGAAAGCCTTCCATAACTTTCTAACATGTATAATTTTAAACTGTGAATATGAATATTGACTATGGTTGTTATTTGCAAAAACAAAATTGAGGCCCATTTAATTTGGGGACCACAGGCGCGTGGCCATCTTGCCCAATGGGAAATATAGCCCCCCCCCCCAAAAAAAAAAAAACGTTTGTGTTTCATACCATAAGTAGTGAGGAGGATTTTGCTCTAATACGTTTTTTATACAACAACTTCAACCGTGTTTTTTATAGCTTACAAAAGTGTATTCGGTACTATAACGTTTGATCGATCATTCGGACAAGTGCGTTTCAACGTACTTTGTCGTTAGAAAGATGGAACCAAAAAAAGCTTTATGGAGTTTTTTTAATTGCCGACTCGTTTAGAGTTCAATAAAAAAAAAAATAGAAATTCGATTTTAGTAGTATCGGTATGAAATTATTTTGGGCATGAATAAAAAAAATATATCCCACTCGTCCGCGTTAAACTTTTATAACGACTACAAACAAAATTGTTTATTTTCACTGTAAAACTCCTTACCTATACTTCCGCGGTTCTTCACAAGAGAGTCGTGCTTCGACTTTGATAACTTAATTTAATACTCCAATTTTGGCCACAGAGAAATAGGTAATTAGATAATTTTATATGCTACAATAAAGTGTCTGTACCGCTAGCGTCTACGCTTGGCTTGTGTAAACTTCAATCTGATTTTGTAACTTGCAAAATAACCTAACTATGTACGCCGCACTTTCGAGAAGTTCAAAACTAAGTAATACAGTTTGCTGTGCCAGTCTTCGATATGAAAATACACTATTCCAACACGTGTCATCTTCTTGATTATGCCACATTGTGTATATAGTATATAGTGATTCGGCTCCAACTTTAATCGCGTACTTAAGTCTGTGAATTAGGTATTCCGCGAAAAAACCGAACAACGCTTAAGAAGACGTCACAGAAAACAAATTCATGTTGTAATCAAATTGTTTTTGTATAACAGTGTTGTCCGTTCAGAGTAAGAAAATGTTAAGCACAACAATAGAGGTTTTTATGGAATATTTTTTATATTTTTTTCTCGGCATTGGACGTAATAGTCTGACGAAAATAATAAATAACTAATGATGAAGAATCCTCATTATTGCGCCAAACAAAAATATAGACTACAGTTTTGACTATAAAGTAAGATTCTCTGAAAAAATTCCTACACCGAACCCCTTAATAAAAAAACGTAGCTTCCTCTTAGCTTTTTTTCATATTTTATTTCACCGAATCGTTTCACTCTTAGTAGAACGCACATAAAAAATAGGAAATACGCTCAAACCGCTCACAAAATTAAAATTAAAATTTAGCTATTAAATTGTTATATTTTTTTCGAAAACAGGAACGCAACGGATGATATAACGGAGAGATTATCTTCGTTTATGGACAGCCGATCTTTGAGTATCGACTTGCAGACCTTAGACCGTCAAGTCGGAGTAGAAGGTAAAACAGCTTTTAATTTGTGTGTAACCGCTATAACAAAAACCGCTTATCACTCAATTTTAAAAACAAATAATGTGGCATTTTAGATTTCACCGTGTGATGTTAAGCGGTAGCTAAGGGCGTTTTGGGCGTTTCAACCCCACGTCGACAATTTAAACTTACCTTTCGAACCCCGTTATGGCCTCTCTGGCTGGCCTATCCGAAGAGTGACTTTCCCAGGGTGTCCTCGAGTTGTTTCCAGTAACAGTGCAAAGAGCCGTTACCCTCGTGGGGGAGGCCTACTGTGTGTGTTTGAAATCCTGTGTGTAGGGTAGCCTGTAGGGCGGGTTCCTCGAGGAATTTCTTATTGCTGCAAATAGAGACACAAAATTCCAGCTTTTCCGTTTGTCTCACGTCCGTTTTTCGGTCTTTATAGGCCGCAGACGACACGCTTACCGCAGAGTGTTCCCGATCATTGTGAGTACTTACATGGTCATGTCGGCCATCCTCATACCGTTAGGGTTCATGTTCATGTCGACGCTCGGCGGTATGGCGCTGTTGGTCAGCAAAATCTCGCTGATGGTGTCGCTCATGTCCAACATAAAAAAGATGTTCTCCTACGAGTACTACTTGCCGCCTCCAGCACAGGCCCAAGCACCGGCTCATCATCCCTGGAAGAGAAACTTGCAAGTCCGACACACGACCAAAGACGGCCACCGGCGGATGTACGCGCGTCACATGCCGCCTTATTAGTGTAGCTAGTTAATATATGACCAATAATGAAGTGATGAGAATCAAAAGGAGGACACAAGTGATCACAAGTAGAATTTTTTACAAGAAAGCAAAATTAAAATTACACCCAATTCCAAAACGGATGGCGTCCAGTAGTTTTTTTCTTCCTTCGAATATCCCTAACATCACCAAGGGGACACTATCGCAAGAGTCTAAATTGTGAATGTAGAAAAAATGTAAAACGACTTACAAGTACAAATAGTTAAAGGTTTCATTGGCAATATTAATCAACGGTCAGAGACTCGTTTTTAATTTGTTCACTTTTATCCTTTTGATTCTCATTACTTGATATCATAACACACTCAATGCTGTTATAATAGTATCCAATAAGTATGTATATTCTGTTAGTATCGGACGTTAACCCGAGAAGCAATTAATTTTGCCAAATGCTGTTGTTTAAAGCCAATTCTGTTATAAATATATACACAATCGATTATTAAAGTAAAATGTGACGACTAACAAATGTGTTAAAGGTTTGCTCGACCAGCATGTGTGTAAAATATTAACTAATTTTCACTTAGTTATTCATTTAGAGTCCATACAAACAATAAGGTCAAAACTCATCTAAGGTTTCATCCTCGGCTACTACAATAGTACCGGTGTATGTATTATAAAACTTGTATACGCATTTATAATATGTCCATAACAATAGATAGTAAATAGTAATTATAATAACTAATGTTTGATTATTTTTTAAATTAATTAAACAATAATATCATTATATTTAAATATGGCTTAGTAATTTACCAAGTACCTAATTTCGAATTGTAAAATGTACCTAAACTTGTAAAATATTCGAATAAAGATATTTTTAGTAATATTCGAGTAGGTATTCAAATATCATTTATTATAAATACCAATTTTTTAACACTGTATTTAAATAGTATTTATTTATTTATAATGTATTTTTATATATATATATAATAAAAGATACATTTTAGTACATTTGTTTTAACCTTTAAAGATTGAAACCACCAAACATATTATATTTAAATAAGAAAAATTAAATTGAAAATAAAATAAACTTTTTTTTTTATTAATTATAATTGGCGACTGGCTGTCAATAAAAAAAAGATTTAAGGCATTTAAGAAATAAAGAAAAAGTTAGCTTATATGCCATATAACATGTAAAAATGAAAAATATACATCATGATTAGAAAATATAAATAATTTATTTTCCAGGCCACATGCCAATGTTATAATTTATTTTTAGTTTAATAAATCAAAATGCTATTAATTTAAAATCCTGAAAAAAATTTATGAAAATAGATACACATTAATGAGACGACATAAGCCCATCATAATTTTATTTGGATTTTTTAATAGATGTATTTTAAGGTCAGGCAGTAATTAGAATAAATGAAAAACTAACAATAATTTGTTTTGGTAAAAATGTAAAATTATTTAATGAATTATTATATTTCCATTTAAATAAAACAATTACGCTTAAAAATGATTTTTATTTCACCAAAACGTTGTTTTTTTAAATTTTAATTGACGATACGCATAATACATAATCTTTATAATTAAATTATAATTTATAAGGCACTCGAATACCATATAAGCATGCTCATATTAAAAAACAAAACATAATATTAATGTCCTATTATTTTATTAAAAAAAAAAAAAAATACTTGCCGAATATTAAACAATAAGATACAAAAACTTAGTAATATTTATAAATTAAATAAATATTCATCATAGAACATTTAAAAAAAAAACCCAAAGAGAAATAGATATCAAATCGTTTTAATTTTTCATCTCCTATAGTGATAATTGTAATTATCCCTAGGCCGTTTATTGTCATACGATCGTTGGTGCCGATTATATGAGTTGTCCCTTCTCTGATCAGAACGATCGTCCCATTGTCTTTTACCGCTTTCTGATCTATCATTGTATTTGCGTTTCCAAAATGGTCTGTACGAAGTAATAAAAGGCGGATCAGGAATGCCAAAATTTACCGTAGCCATATAATCGTCATCTTTGTCTGTATACCGAAAGGCAAACATTTCTTCGAGTCTCAATAACTCTTTTTCTTGGTCGGGCGATAATGGTTCATCTGTGAATGATTGCGAGTTTTTTATCGAGGTTATTCCATCCTTAAATTCTATTTCGTATCTACTATTGGAGTCATCCTCTTCTTTTGGGGACGCCATGTTCAGTCTAGAATACGTCAACCGATGCGTCAAAATGTTTTGGAACCACAATCAATGAGTCAGCATCTACAAATCGAAAAAATAATCCATAATTTTTAAAAAGAAACATACTGACATAATATAGTTAATTTTAAACAAATATGCAAAATATGATAATCTTCATTTTTAAGAACTTACATATTTCGCTGACAACACTCGGAACAATAACTGCATAAAACCCTAATAGGGAAGGATATATTTTCCCACTATTAGCCGAATGTAAAGGCTCAAAAATCCTAAAAAAAAAAAACAAGACTGGTTACTATTAAAAACAAATTTTCATTTTTATTAATACCAAAATATTATTTTGTCTAAATCAGATAATAATTAAATAATGTATTATTTTATTTACGGTACTGCGCAATAGTACAAAATATATATATATAATATACTTTGTCTCGATAATTTTAACTTTAAGTAATTATGATGAATGTGAAATTATTACCATCCAATTTGTCGTCCACAATGAAAACACACACACGATTTGTATGCGTAACCTGGAAACCACGAGTTTTCAGTCTGCCACTGAAATAAATAATTTGTACAATACATTACAACACAGTTTTGAGTACAATAAAATGTAAACAAATTAATATTGTTTCTGGAAAAGGATTAAGAAAACAAAATTCAAATTAAGAGTCAATTGTTTAAGCAGGTGATCAATTGTATATTAGCAACAACAGACTGATTGGCGACCAATTATTTCTTCATTATGTATTTAGTAAATTACGAATTGAGAACACACCCTAATGGCTCATTGACTTAATGTTGTTTTTCATCGACTGATGAGCTTAACAGAATAATTAGATACACCCTCAAGCACGTACAACAAAATATTTATTCACTTCTGAAACATTATTGTATTCCTTTTAAGGGATTAATCAAAGTCATTTAATAGAATTAAACGTAATGCCTCTCTCTATTCGTGTAGAGAACAATTTTAAACTGTTCCCTATACATTTTAACGCGTTACGTGTACAGTCATACTAATTTGCTAACTCTTAATAGTTAACAGGGTACATAGGTAATGGATTTCGGGACGTCAGTGCTAAATACTAATGTAATTTATCAAATATACTCTCACTGCAAGCACCAGCAAGACATTTTGCTGTAAACCATTTACCACCGAGCTAGGCGTACATTATCCTGATAGGCTTTTTTTTACATACATTTTTAATGGTTTTTTTTTTTTTATAGAAAACCAAAAAAGTCTACTAGGGTCTAGCCAATCAGGCTAGTTTGATTTTTGATCAAATTCATCTACAACCACGGATATAAAATTGGTAAAGGTATATATAATATATTACTACAATCAATAGCGAATTTAATAGAAGCAACATGGGGGTGACCTCCTCTAGTATTGATAATTTTTTTTTTAAAAATGTCAAAAATTAAAGTTGTACGTAAAATGACTAACATTGTAGTTAAAGAAGCTGATTGAAAACAAAATGGATCGACTGAAAAGACAGTCGTCAAGATGTTCAGCTGATAAGGGAGGATAGAAAAAGGATCGTCTGATAAAAAAAGGATTTATTGAAAAAGATGATCTGATGATAAGAAAGAATCTACTGATGAGCTAGAAACAACTGATACGAGAAGACTTATTGATAAGAAATAATAAACCGATTTAGGAAGATTGTTTGATGGAGAAAAACCGCTAAAAAGGAATGTTAATTGTTAAGGGAAATTCTCAAATAAACTCCAACAGTAAAGAGAAGAGCAGAATTTGAGAAGTTATTTATTTGATTATACAAAAAACCGGTAACAAATTCTCAAACGTAACATTGGTAATCTTTACAACTGAGAAATTGTTTTTAAAAAATGATTTCACTCTAGAGAGTATATTGTAAGAGTAAATGAAAACATGCAAGTGTAAATGCATACGTATTTACTATGTAGGTATTTTTAAACAAACAAATATCCGAGCCAAGTTACTAAATAATAGCACTGTAACACATTGGTATTACTAGGAAAATAAAATCACACATTTTTCATTGCTCATGTCAAATAAATACACTTTCTGTACCAAGTAAAAGATTTTTTTTTTAATTTTAAACGTAATAATATTGTCGGTCAAAAACTTATTTACATAAATTAATTTGAATTATTATTACATTAAAAAGATATTAATACGTTTGCTCATTCTCATACTTGTCTCTGTACACTTTTGTATATTATAACTTTTAAGAAATTTTTTTATTAATGGGTATTTTCCCTTTTAGACTCACTTTGTTCAGAGTTTCTTAAAATCATTCATATCATTATAGTACTGTATAAAAGAAAATGTAAAATATTGTACAGATGTTTTTAACATTGATGCAAAACCACCAAATTTTCAGGTCTTAAGTTTGGCGTTAACACTTAACACGTGCCGCCAGCCACTTAATTTTGCCTGACAGAAGGTATCAACAAATTAAGTGCATTGAAATCAGTGTCTCAAAAATTTTGTTTTTCGTAAATTAATAATGTGAACAAAAGAATAAACTAATCCACAATGTTTCCTGACAAATCTACTTATAAATTAGTATATCATTAAACATTATATTTTATAAAAATAACTTTAAATTTTTACAAAAAAAAGTACATTTTTAAAATTTTGAATGCGATAATTTTTTTTAAATTGTGTAAAATATATAGTGAATTAACTTTTTTCTGTTTACATCAACGTTTTATGAAAAAATGCTCAAAAACAATTTTTTAAATGTTCTACTAAGACCTAAAATATTTGGTGGCCTATTTTATTTTTTTTTTAACAATTTTGAACCAATTAGTGAGGGGTCAACTATGTAACCGTTGAAATTACACTAACCCCAAAAAAAAGGATCACTCTATTGTAATATAATTAAATTCTATTGTTATCTAACAACAGAACATAGTGTTATATTTTATCTTTGTTAAGTCTTTTAGGAATTTATTAGTATTACTCAGAGCATTTTTTTTTTTTGCTCATTTTTGGAAATACGTCCCTATAGTGGACAATCGGTGATGCATAGCGATTGTCCATGTGCTACAAGTAGTTGTTTATTCATTTTAAAGGGATTTAAAGTATGTAATTCTAATTTATGTCCATCAAACATACAATATAGGAATTAATATTCTATTTTTGTTCCAATGTACCAATCGACTTCCTAATAGGATAAGGAATCTGAAAACAGATTTGAATTTCTTTTTGGAACGACCTTATCACTTTCTTTTTTTTGTTTAAGTGTAATTCTTAGTTAAAATATATTTTTTTTTTTTTTAGAATCCTTTACAATTTTAAGTACAAGATCAAAAAAGTGGTAAAGTTGTCCCTTTGAAATAATTCAGAGTAACAAAAGTCACGTCTACATTTCTATATTGCACGTTAGAAGGACATAGAGAGGAATCCAATCTCCTTGATATACTTAGTTTGTCCATATAATTTGGGTTTACTTACATCGTCAGTTCCACCAGTGCAGTACGCCTTTGTTAGAATAATGACATCAAACGTTAATTGCACCGCATTTTTTACAGTATGGACCTTGACCTCCTTTAGTCCGAACAGGGGAATTACACGAGTTTTTAGTGAAGCCGGACATTCTATGGACGAGAGAGATATGATCGGAGATACGTCTCCGCCACAAAGTCGACACAGAAGATAATCGTAGGTGATCGGGGTCAGGTCTCCCGAGTTGAGTTTAGTGTCTTGAAATTTTGCTGCACCCCCAGCCAGAAAGACATACAACAAAACCACAGCAAACACCATTAGACGGAAACATTGAAATTGGACTACGGTAGGCAGAGTGATTTTTACCTAAGAAACATACAATCACACATATATAACACACGCGCAATAAAGTAAATCATCAATATTATAATATAATTAAAACTCAATAGCCAAACTTAGAAAAGATTTTTTTTTTTTACCAGTTTAGTTATGTCCGTACAAATACTTTAATGACTAGCGATGAGCACGTATATTGTGAATGTAGTACAATCCGTACAAGCTGTGTATACATTTTTGAATAAAAAAAAAAATGAAAACATACCTACTATGACGGCATACGCAGGTATGGGAACTAGAATTGTTTTATTAACTCTTCTTTATTTTCTCTATACATTTTCTATGAGTACAATTAACTCGTTTATGCCCAAGGTTAAACATTTTTTTATTTTATTTTAGAATACAATTATAACAATTGCAAAATAAAGCTGATAATTGTATTAACTAGTTTCCCACATACTATAGAGGAGTTGAAATGGGCAGAGTTCAGATAGGTTAAGCGCCAATGACTGTATGGGTACATACTATATACATGTCTTTTTCCACATAAGTGAATGTTGAGCGCCCCCTCCCTCCAAGTAAGCCGGGTTTGTGTGAGTAGAAGCAGTCAATGTATGTAACTAAGATGTTATTTATTTTATTTCAAAAACGTTTGAGCAGGGTTTTTCGATTTAATTCTTAAAAATATCCGTTCTTCTATTTGTTCCAGTACAAATACATTTAAAAGTTTCGTTCCTCTGCTTGTTCTAAAATTAATAAAGGAGCGGAACTTTCAAAACCATTAATTCTGGAACACGGAACTTTATTTTTAATCCTGGTATTTGTTCCGGAATCAGTTACAAAACCCTATATTTCCGTAAAATATTCTACAGTCATTATCTAGAACATCTAACATTATAATTAACAGTTCTAATTGTTAATTTATTTATTTTTATACTATGGAGATCTGATAAAAAAAAAATTACCAAAAACACAAAGCCAACAAATAACCCCAATGATCAAAATTGAAATACAAATTAAATTGTTTACTATCAGAGCAATACAACTAGTTATTTAAATCACTTATTTCTACCAATTTTAATTTTTTGTTGATTCAGTTGTAAAATATTAAACAAAAAAATGGAATTCAAATGAAACCATTGTTGTTGGGTGAACACACATATTATTACATATTTAAATAACAATGATTGATGTGTGTTAACTTACAAGGTCATACAGTTCAAACTTACGAATAATTTTTATTCAACAATAAAAACAATGTAAGAAAAATCCTATTGTTCAGAATTTGTATTAATATGTACTACATTTATGAATAATATATTAGCAGTAGAGCATTAGAGCAGTATTGAGTATTGCCTAAGAATACAGAATAAAAAAATTGTGTTCAGTATAATATGAAAATAATAAATAAAATTTCCCATGAGATAAACAAATTGGAAATAGAATACTATGTTTTTCAATTGCGATTCGCATCAGCGACAGCAGCTGCATGGTGCAATGGCCACCGACCGTCTTCCGCCCTCTGCTATTGCACGCCAAGCTTGCGGCCTACTGTTATATAAGAGAACAATTTCAAAGTTAAAGTAGCTATAAATTTTGAACTAAAGGAGTCTGCCGATTTCTGACTTCAGATTTGTAATCAGTGTAAAAAAAAACTACTGGATGACATAATAAAAATAACAAAAAAGGGAATCTGGTAAATTAAAATTTGTTCTATTTCTTTATACGCATTTAATTTATTTACATATCTTTAATATATAAAAAACTTTATTAAAAAAATAAAATAATCCGCCCACAATAATTAATTGTATGTTGCCGTTACGACATAGACCACTAATTCAATACCATGGGGCATGTATAAATACAACTGACATGTAAATGTTAAAATATAATCGAAACAAAATAAACATATTCATTCAAGTACGTCATATTCAGGGGCCAACTAAGGAAATCCTATCTTGTTATCATAATATTATTTCGGGTAAACATATTGTAAACGCCTATACGGTCAAGTTCATGGTCTTCGCTAGTCAAATGTTTACATAACTTACTTTGGACTTTAATAAACACTAAACTTACTGGCGCCGGCAAACGAACATTTTGTTCTAACTATCCAAGTCTGTAGCGACCATTGGGATCATGTATCCAATTATCAATAATTATAATAGTAACGTTTAAACTAGAATAACGAACAAAAAGCCGACATAAGAAAATATAAATTACTAATTAGTAGTCACGAAACGACTTTGGGCCGTAACGAAATCGTACCTATTTGATTTTTTTTTCTCATTTTTATCGATACCCTGTTATCACGCGTACAAACACGCCAATAATCATAATTGGGCGTTTACAAGGTCTTTGGTTTGTGGTGCGGAGGCGGCGGCGCGGACGTATACCATGCGAGTTTTTTCTTCAAGTCACGACGTCGCGTCGTCGGTAAATGATAATAGTTGGGTCAGTTGTTATTTTTGTAGAAAAAAAAAAAAACGGATATTTGCGTAGTAAATTCATTTTTTTTTGTCATAGCGAGAAACATTATGAAATATTTGATAATAGATGATATTTCGATGCCGAATAGTGTCTAGTGGCCAATACATTTTTATCACACGCACCGCTCACGGCGGCGCGTCTCCAAGGTCTTTGGGCCAATCAGCTGTGCGGCGGAGTTGTTTTTGTGTTTGATTTTCTATCTTCTGTTCACTCCGCCCGCCCTCCCACCCTCCTCCATCCCTTAACCATCACGTCGTCGTCCGTATCTCCGTCTCGCTCGCGCCCCCTCCATATCTGTCTCGCTCGCTCCATGCAAGATACAATTTTTATTTTACAAAATATCGAAATTCGTTCGCCAAATTCAACTGTACGCAATTATCTATAGTTAAATTTTATTATTTATTTGTACGAAAACGAGTGAAAAAGAAAAAAAAATATATTTTACGTCGATTTGTCTCTTTCGATCGCTACTTTTACTACACCGTATTACCGTGTATAATACATATATATATATATATATTAAATAAAATTAATAATAATATTATTATTTCATTAACACTGTCCGTACGTATAGTATAATCACCGGACATTTCGCATTAATTTACTATTAATATTATTTATATCGGTAGGATGTTAATTTAACTTGATTATTATTATTGTCGTGTGTATATAATACTATTTTAAATATAACAAAAATATCGGTTTTTTTTTTTTTTTTTTTTATCGTACCGGAGTTTGCCGCACACTATCGTTTTTATTTTATTATTATTTTTTTTTTTTGTTAAATGTTACACGCCGGATCGTATTATTATTATTGTTATTATTATATTAGTCAAATTGTCTTGCCGTTTTCGAACGGCGTCCGCAACGATTCGTAAACACACGGGAAGACGCCGGCAGTGGCCCGTGCATGTATATAGTCGCCAGACTTGTGCAGAATTTTTGCCATCCCGTGAGTATGACGATATGTTGTAATAATAGTCGCCCCCGTGTGCTAAGGTTGTCGTACCGGTCGTCCACCCCTCCGATATGTACCCCATTAGTTTTTCTTAACTTTCTCACCATGAAACCACCCTTAGTTTTTTTCGAAAAGACGATTGACGACGCAATTTGATGACACATTCGAAATTTTCGAGTGATAAGCCGCACGGCGATCGGTCTTTGTCGTCTAATTTTATCCATCAGAACTCGAAAATTCCGATAGTCTCCCGTTTGTTTGGCTGGCGATTGCGTTTCATAATAAATGATTGTCGCAGAGCCGTTCCCGTTTGTCCGTCAAATATCGCAATTCGTTTTAAATTGATAACTGACGACATTATGAAAACATTGCAGGATGACTATTGCGACTCGTGGACAAACCGTCGGATTAGATTCGGCCGATAATCAAACAAATGTTCAAGTAACTACTATAATTATTTTCACCTACTGTTTGCAAATAACACTATGTACATGATTTTTAATTATCACTCGTATTGCGCAGAATGTTTCACAGCCGCACACACAAATTCACAATGTGCTGTCCAACATTAATGTTCTGCCACCCCAGGCGGTTGAGACGCATCAAATACCAGAACAAGCACCCAACGAGGTAGACGATAATAACAAAAGTGATGTAGAAAATAAAGATGAAGTCAACGAAGAGGAGGAAGATGAAGAAGAAGAAGAAGAAGAAGATCTTGTGTTCCCAGTTATGAAACTAGTCAACCTAGAAGAGAAAATCCACAGTCAACGGTGGATTGTGCCCGTGTTGCCGGAACAAGAATTATTAACGTTATTGAATGTATCGATAGAATTTAGTAAAAGAGGATTGGACATCAATCATGAGGGATGTCAAAAGTTTTTTCGCGATGCTATGGTATTATCGTTTACTCGGATATTGACCGATGACGCAGTGAATAGTTGGAAAGTAAACATTCAACAGTGCATTATGAACAACTGCATGAAACTAGTAGAACTTTTGGTGCTCAAACTTGACGACGATAACTTTCCATACATTGATATGCTCGGAATGTTGTTTAATCCTTTAAATAAGTATGTACCTTAATTTTTTTTTTTAATAATAACTTTTTGACAATTATTTCGTTTAATTTCTCTATAATTTATTTGTAGATTCCATTTGTTCAACTGTGGTAGACATTCTGATTACGCACCAACAGAAATTTTCTCAGACGACTTTGAATTATTTGCTAGACCACCACCAGATTCCAGAGCTCCTAGAGGCTGGCTTGTGGATCTATTAAATAAGTGAGTGGCTTATTATGGTTTTAAATAATTTTTAAACCTACTAAAATAAAATTAAAATTTGTTTAGGTTTGGAATTTTAGGTGGCTTTCAGAAGTTGACAAAACGATTTGAATCCAACGAAACGCTTACTATTCCAATTATTTCTGGACTTATACGACCATTTGGATGTTGTTCAGAACTTTTGACTGAACCCACAATGATCAATTACTTAATGCCCATCGTGGTAAGTACGATATTTCTTTTGGGATATGTTAATTTTGTTACTTGACCATTGTTGATTTTATTTTTTAGGAAAAAATACCTAGCGTTCTGGACGTGTTAACTGATGATGAGCTTAAAAAAGAAACAAAAAATGAAGGGAAAAACGATGCCATTTCTTCCATTATCAAAGCTTGTAAACAGCTAGCTGTCAAAGTACCAAAGCAGGACGATTTGATTAAACATTTAGAAATATTTAGGCTAAAAATGATATTACGGTATTATATTTTTTTATAATACCTGTTTGTGATTTTATTTAATATTATTCATATATATATATTTATTTTTTAGTTTATTGCAAATTTCATCGTTTAACGGTAAAATGAATGCGTTAAACGAAGTGAACAAAGTAATTACCAACGTTACTTATACGCCTCATCGGCACATTGATCACGATGAAGAATATTTAACTCCAGAAAGGATGGCCGTAAGTTACAAAATAGGTTGCAATGAAGTTTTTGTATGTTATTTTATCTGTAAACTTTTTTATAGAGATGGATTAAAGAAAATAATGTGCTTGAAATAGTTTTGCGAGATTCCCTTCATCAACCACAATATGTCGAAAAATTAGAAAAAATTATACGATTTGTAATAAAAGAACAAGCGTTGTCATTAAATGACTTGGACGCTTTGTGGGCCGCCCAATCTGGTAAACACGATGCCATCGTAAAAAACGTTCATGACCTATTGGCAAAACTTGCTTGGGATTTCTCGCCTGAACAGCTCGATCATTTATTCGAATGTTTTCATGTAATAATATTGTCCAAAACTAAGTCAATTAGCTGCTTAAATATTTTAATTTTGCTATTAAATGTTTAGGCAAATTGGACTAATGCTAACAAGAAACAGAGAGAGAAATTGTTAGAACTAATTAGACGATTGGCGGAAGACGATAAGGATGGTGTAATGGCTCATAAAGTAATTTTTCTTTGACATTTACACATAATATATGTATATATATATTTTTTTAATTCTAATATTTTGTACTTGTGTAAGGTTTTGATGCTGTTTTGGAACTTGGCTCATGGAGAAGATGTATCGACAGAAATCATTGACCAAGCCTTATCTGCCCATGTCAAGATATTAGATTATAGCTGCTCTCAAGTAATAATAAATCACACTGTTTTTTATTTTCTGCACAATTTACTAAAATGTTTATATTTATACATAGGACCGAGATGCACAAAAAACGGCATGGCTCGACAAGTGTGTCGATGAACTCAAGAGTAACAGCTCGTGGGTACTTCCAGTGTTGAAACATATGAGAGACATATGTATGCTCTACGATTCAACGCCAGTCGGAGGCCATCAAGCTCACACTCATACATTATATCGGTGAGTGAAAAAAACAATTTTATATTCGGATTCTAGATCTATTGAAGTTATTTATTGAGTTTGAAATCATATTTCTGAGTATTTACGGAGTTACACAAAAGAACTTCTCCTTTTTTTTTGGAATCATATTTTTCAAAATTGCGTGAATGATAAAGAAAAAACTATTCGATCAATCAATTTGCTTCTGGTGTTTTCTGAAAGAGTGAAAACCTGCATTAAATAAACTAAAATAAAAGCCATTTTTCCCTCATTAAAATCATGTACATGTTCAATTTTTTACATTTTCAAAACTTAAGATAAATAAAAATAATTTTTTAATCAAAATTTAATGTTACACACTATTTGCAATAAATTAATGAAATCGTTCACGTAGCAATATCTATAATATACCTACAACTTTGTAAAAAACAGTTATTTATCAAAAAATAATTTTACATGTATAACTATAAACTTGAGTTAAAATTTCAAAAATTAAATAATTAACTTTTTTTAAGCTTTTGAAGTCAGGTCCCCCCTAAGTATAGTGTAGCCAATAGTTTCAGTGTTGTTAAATTTCACTTTATTTTCATTTTTTTAGTTAAACCATTGACAAAACTGCCAATTTTTTATTTATCCTAAAATAAGTTTGATGTATTAACTTCTAGCCAGTTAGAAATTATGGATTTTTTTATTGATTTCTGTGTATTCTTATTTTACAGGCAAGAAATAATCACAAGACTTCAGACTCAACACACTATTGTTTCTTTAGTCACAGATAACCTGTCCAAATATATGGATGATGTTAGACAATATGCACTAGGTAAAATCGTAGAATATTTATATTTTTATATCTTGTAAATGTTGTAATCGTAAAATTTTAGAAAACCCAAATTTGGATCCAGCTAAATATTACCCCGACGGTCGTTATTGTCACTTGCAACAAGTTCAAGAAAGGCTATACTTCTTAAAGTTCTGTTTAAAGGTACAGTTCAACATTGTTAACAAAGTAAACTCTTTTAATTTTTTGCTAATTCCTTCTGTTTATAATCGTCAGGATGGAAACCTTTGGTTGTGTGCCGAACAAGCACATTTGGTTTGGTTATCGTTGGCCGAAAAAGCAGTGTTTCTTGCAGATCGCGAAGCATGCTTCCGTTGGTTTTCCAAGTTGATGGGTGAAGAGCCGGATATCGACCCTTCGATAAACACTAAATTTTTTGTTAATAATCTGTTGCAACTCGATCCAACATTGTTAACAGAAAATGGCATAAAGTAATAAAATAAGATTTAAAAAAAAAATGTCCATTTAACTTTTATTAGTTACCGTTTATGTGTGTTTTATTGTTTCTAGGTGTTTTGAACGATTTTTTAAGGCCGTCAACGTGAAAGAAGGAAAGTTGCTCAAAAAGAAACGTAGCTATCAGATGGAAAACATAGATTTGATTGGAGTGGATTATTTATGGAAGGTAGTAACAAATTGTAGTGAAGAAATTGCAGCCCATGCGATTGATTTGCTAAAAGAAGTTAATACCAATCTGGCTCCTCGACTCCAAGCAAACCCATTAGAGTTTCATCAAACGTTTGTGGCTGAATGTTTAGAAAGACTTCGGGCACATTTTGACACCGTCAGCATACTTTCTAAAGCATCGATGACCAAAGATGATATAATTGAACGGAACATCGAAGCTACAAAAATGATCAGGGTCATGAAAGTGTTATATGAGTATTTAGGTGAATGTGACGCTTCTTTTAACGGAGATCGAAACTTATTACCTCTCCATCGGTTTGTTATTTTGTTGTTTAACTTTTCTTATATTTATTTATATGTATATCGAAATAATATTATAATTGTTTTAATTTATATTTGCACAGAGCTAGTCGTGGAAAACACATCACTGTGGTTGTGCGTTTGACAAATGCCAATCGATCACTGGTGGACGACCATGAAATCGGTATGCATAGCAATGATAATGTATCGTGTGTAAGACGGCAGTTATTAAAAAGATTAAGGAATAGCGGAACAATCACGACAATAACAGGTGCATTGAATATCAAGCTGGACATATTCCCGGGGAGTAGTGTTGATCTAACTACTACGTTGGATGACAACAAACTCCTTGGAGAGTTACCGTTCCGCGATAAATTGGTAATATATATTTTTTATTCTGGAATACAATTTTTGTAGTTCAGTAAATAATAGATAATCTGTGTTTTTTTTATTATTTTATTAATTTAAAATTGATTTTAAACAAATTTTCTTAAATATATATTAAAGAACTTGTTTATTCAATAATAAATGACAAATAATTTGAAACAAAATAGTGAATAAAAACAATTTTGTCAAGAATAACCGAATAACAAATAAATAAATAAAATAAAAAAATTGTATTATATAAACGTATCATCTAGATCAGTGTTTCCCAACCTTTTAATTTCTACAGACCACTTAGGAAAACTTTCAATCGAATGTGGTCTACCTCTCACGTATAAGAGTAAAATAAAGAGTATGAAATTTGTAATAACTATTTTTGTTATTTTTACTTAGAGTTTATTAACTTGAAGAAAAAAATCTTTGAAATAGTGAACAGCTAGGAAACACTCATCTAGTTATAAGCTATAGGTGTATACCCGAATTTATATTTAGAGTTAAATTTTGTTATTTTTTTATGTTGAAATTAACTTTTATTAACAACTTAAAAAAAATATTGCTTCCAGTATCTCAACGCAAGACTTATAACTGCCAACACAAATTTAGCTAGTTCGCCAGATAGCAGTTCTGATAGTTCAATTACAAATACGCAACCTCTATACGACTACGGTTTAAGTTCGGATGCAGAAAATTGTTTACCCACTGTGGTAAGTCACATAATAAAATATAGTTTCTATAGAGCACAAATGATGTGCGAACCCAACCACATTATTGATAATTATTTCGTTTTACAGATAATTTCTGAAAATCCCAAATATGTCAGTTTTTTTATTCAAGTGTCTGACAAGGGTATTGAAATTGAAAACCACCAGCTTAGAGAAGCGGCCAGGTGTATTTTAAAATTAATTCCGCCTGCCGAATCTACTGTGAACAAAATTAAGGTATCTTTGATTTAGTATTTATTTTCAACAATTAACAAATCAAAAGTAATTTTCAATTTGTACTCTTTTAACAATTTATTTTATTTAAACGAAAAATGCCCAGGTTTGCTTTGTGCATATTCATCTACTGTTATATATCTAACAAACTTGGTTATTTTTAGAAATTTTTCTCAAATCAACCAGAATCAATAGATGGAAATTCAAATTCAAGTATACCTGATGACAGTAGTATATATTTCACTAATTCTTCGTCTCAAAATCTCTATAACTTAGAAGTAAGTTTTTACATAAATTAATTTGTCATAAGTCAAAACTTAAAATATAATACAATGTTCTTAATTTATTTTATTTTTTTTTTTTTTTTTTAGGTTCTATATTCAATGCTTTTACCGGCTATCGATCCGATATCTGATAAAACTTTAGAATTTCAAACTAATTTCATAAACAGCAATCACGCGCCTGAAATAATTCAAATGTTGACGTCAAAGAAATCGATTGTAGCCAACAATCAGTCCACCAAAAGGTTTGTACTGTAAAGTGTACTCAATGAAAAAATATAAGTGAATATACTGAACTCTAAATGTTTTTTGTTTCTCAGGTCTATTTATTTAGTAATTTTAAAGATATGCAGATTAATTTTGTGCGTTATGGGACAAGTAATAACACAGCTGTGTCAATCGCCTGGGTTAGTCATAGGTGTGTCTTCAGGCACCGATAGAAATCTTCATAAGGGTATAGAAGTTCTCGATCAGTGTGACGATACATTAGCTCTGATGAAGGAAGCGTTTAGTCTCGTGCCCAATCCTAACGTCGAGTACATGCTACGCAGTATTACGTCGAAATTGGCACGTAAAAATATTGACAAAATAGCCAATGGCTGTGAAACTCTGGACGCTTTGCAGTTGGCCATAAACAAATCATTGTCGAAGTTTATGCCTACGATGGAAATGATCTGGAACACGATACAGCTCGCTTGGGCGATGGCTGGAGCCAACCTGCATTTGATCGACGACAAGTTACAAAATGCCGATTTACACGACCATTTGAACGATAAATCTTTGGAGATGGAAGATATGTTAGGTATGGCTTTTAAACATGGTTTTCCACTTAACATAACCATGTACAATTTTTTTTTTTTTTTTTTATATAGTATGTAAAGAAGCGTTAGAAGTGCTGACTTTATGTCTGTTCTTAAAACCAAATTATCTCAATCAGTTGGTGGACAAAAAAGACTGGCAAACATTCTTAATCGATTTAATTCTTATAGCTAACCATAGGTAGTTATTAAATTGGTTTTTTTTTTTAAATCTTATTTATATTTATAATTTATATTTTTCTTTTCCAGGCAAGTTCGCTGTTCTGCAGCTGAACAATTTTTATTAATAGTGAAGTTCAGCTGGAACACTGGACCGCTGTTATCGACTGTTTCTTTGATGTTCTCTGTCCTTAATGACACAGTACTGAAATTTGCTCAAAACTCGTATGAGTACTTTCACGTAAGTCGTTGTTATTGTTGTAAAAAAAAAATATATGCAATAATGATGGCATGATTCCCCCCTTTAGGTTCTAACGTATTTACTAAACTATGCTAGTCATGAAAGAATTGCAGTGCCAGATTTCGAAGAATTACTAAGTAATGAAATCAAGTGGTTGAACGACGTTAGAGAGAAAATAAAAACTGACGGCGAGACCGGAATGGAAGAAGTGATTCTTGAAGGCCACTTAAACATTACTAAAGAACTAGTCCAAATGATTCCCATAAAAAAGCGTGAAGACATAGGTTCCAATAACACTCTCGGTATTATGTTGATAAAAAAATTGCTCGAAGATTTCATTTTTCCGGCATCTAAACTAATGGAAGACATGACCAAACAGCAAACCATTGAATTCGCCGATATCGAAGTGACCCCTGTGTGTAAATCTCCAAACTCTACCAACGCGGCATTCGATCTTATCGTATCCCTTTGTGTGGGTTGTGTGGCAAATTTAAAATTGACTGTCGAAACATTGACTCAGTACTTTTATTCAGGTAAATTTTTTCTCTTTAGAAAACAACATAATATAATATGTTGTATATTGAAAATGTATTCTTATCTTTAGAACGTGAAGAACCCTTGATCGAATGGGACTATTTGCCGATGATGGGTGCTAGAACTGCTCGTGGTTTTGTCGGATTAAAAAACGCAGGCGCAACTTGTTATATGAATTCAGTATTACAACAATTGTACATGGTGCACCCGATACGATTGGGTATTCTCTTGGCTCATGGTGCTGCTATTGATTCCAACGAAGACTTTAACGCCGAAGATAAAAACGATAATGAGGTGAGAAAAAAATAATTTAGTTTGGTATAGTCTTAATAACATGGGAAACAAATAAAAATGGGGTAACAGGATTTCATGTGTCGATGTATTAGTCGGAGTGTTCCTCATAACATGTTTTATTAGGTGAACTAAAAAAAAAAAATTGTAGTTTTAAAAAATTAGGCTAATATACGATTTTGACGAGGCAAATCAATAGAAAAACCAAATCTTAAATAAAATGTCATATAATATTTTAACAGACTCAAATGGATGTAACCGAAGATCGTAATAAATTCGAGCAGTCCCGCAAAGAATACAATGTCGGCATATTAAAACAAGTGCAAGCCATATTCGGACATTTGGCGTTCAGCAAAGTTCAGTATTACATTCCTAGAGGACTTTGGAAACATTTTAAGTATGTATACGAGCATGTTATAATCCCAAATAGTAGAAACGGTATTTTAAATGTGTACATTGTAGGCTACAAGGCGAACCGGTGAATCTACGGGAACAACAAGATGCCGTGGAGTTCTTCATGAGCCTTATAGAAAGTTTAGATGAAGCTTTGAAAGCTTTATCCCAGGATCAAATTATGAGCAAAACACTAGGAGGTTCCTATTCAGACCAGAAAATATGTCAGGGTTGCCCACATAGGTAATATTTACTCGTTTTTCAAATATTTTTACGAATAATATTGATAAGTCTATGTTGTTAAAATGTTTCATTTTATATTCCAATGTCAGTTACTAATAAGTTGTTTGATTTGTTATTTGAATAGCTTTCAGTTAACTTTATTCGTTATTTAGATTTTGCTCAACATGACATCAAATGTAATTACTTATTCAATTGTCTACGTTTTTTTAGATATTCTAAAGAAGAACCATTTAGTGTTATCAGTGTCGACATAAGGAACCACTCGAATTTAACAGATTCACTCGAACAGTATGTTAAAGGTGAGCTTTTAGAAGGAGCTGATGCCTATCACTGTGATAAATGTAATAAAAAGGTAAGAAAAAAATATATAAATATTTTTACAACAACATTGAAATTAAAATGGGCAACAATTCAAACGATGATTTTTAACATTAAACCATTTCCTTTTAGGTCGTTACTGTAAAGAGGTTATGTGTAAAAAAGTTACCACCCATTTTAGCTATTCAACTTAAAAGGTTCGAATACGATTTCGAAAGAGTATGTGCCATAAAGTTCAATGATTATTTTGAGTTTCCTCGTCATTTAGATATGGAACCTTATACAGGTAAGGCTGTTGTCCTTCGATGATGATGATTTTCCAAAAATATTTATTTATATTTAAAATTGTAGTTTCCGGATTAGCCAAAATTGAAGGTGAAATAATCGACTGCGATTATAACGAGTCACAAAATGAAAGTCATACTACCAAGTATCAACTAACCGGTATAGTTGTACACAGTGGTCAAGCTAGTGGCGGCCATTACTACTCCTACATTCAAGACCGGTAACTAATATATAATATGTATTGCTAATCTGTTTTTTGAAATTTAATTGATCAAAATACTGTATAAAATATTGACCAATTATTTATTTAGATTATTGTAAAAATTGTACAAAATATTAGTGTAAAACAATGACGCTATTTTTATGCCATTTTTAATATTTATATCTGATTACAATTATTGTTATTGTTACAGAAGTTTAGAAGGTTCGTCTAAATGGTACAAGTTTGACGATGGAGACGTAACGGAATGCAAAATGGATGAAGATGAAGAAATGAAAACACAATGTTTCGGCGGCGACTATATGGGCGAAGTAATTTATTTTCCCACCTACTTTTTCAGTGGTTCCAATTAAATTATACTTTTTTATTTTTTTAGGTATTTGATCATGCTCTAAAAAGAACGAGTTACAGACGACAAAAGCGATGGTGGAATGCATACATGTTGTTTTACACGAAAGTAGACTCTGGCAAAGATTCGCTAGTCAATGGTTTAAAAACACTCAGCATGGGTGAGTAATTTAAAAAAAAAAAATTAGTTTTCATTTTTATTTTTAAATAAATACAAACATTTTTTTTACTAAAATCAGGTGATCGTCGTACTAGTAATAACACTATAAAAATGCCTATGAGTATAAAACGAAGTGTTCAGCAACAGAATATACGATTTTTGCACACACGTAGTCAGTATACTGAAGAGTATTTTAAATTTATACGGAACATTGCTACAGTCAATGCTTCAACTCAAACTCCTAACGATCAACAATCTCAAATAGTAAGCAACTAAGTGAATAAAAAAAAAAAAAAAATGTTTCTATCTTTAATACTATTTGCTTAATATTAGGTTGACAACCAAGAGGAATTATCGCTGTTGACTGTACAGTTGGCTAGCAAATTTCTATTTTACGTTGGCTTACATACCAAAAAATCGTTGAGAGGAAACGCTTTAGAATGGTATGATCTAATAGCGCCGTACATTCGTACATATGCATCGGTCCGAGCTTGGTTTGCTCGAAACATACTCTTCAATCACCCTCAAAGGTATGTAAACACTGAGTGTAATAGTATTAATAATCAGTGGTGTAGTCGTAAAGGTCTTACAAAAACTTTATTTGCGCGTTTTGTATGTTTTGAATAATTATCTAAAATGTATTTAAAAAAAAAATAAAAAACTCCTTATTGTCCCTTTTAAGCGATGACCACACACAATCAATAATATTGATCAATATATTATATTGATTGTTTATTGACAATATTGATGAATTGATCAATATATTGAACAAATTATAAATGTTTGAATTTTATTTGATGATCTGTCAATTATATTTTGTAGATGGCACTGTTTAATAATAATAATGACAATTGTCAATATAATTGACTGCACATAAATAAAAATCAATCATTTTTAATTTGTTCAACATATTGACCAATCCTTCAATATAATTAACACAAAATCAATATACTATTGAAATGTTTTTAAATATTTTTATTATTGTTGATCATGCATGTCCAATTTTTTTCTAAATAAAATTTTAAACACATTGGATACTGCATGAATTTTTGAACACACGGATTGTATATTTAACAATTAACAAACACTAAATAATTGTAATATGTCTATAAATAAAAAATGATTTTGTTGAACTATAATAAAATATATAGGTATAATTTGTGTCACTTCACAGGGTATACCCTACAAATGGGCCAATTATAACAGTATACACCCAATTGATGTTACTCGACAGTTCTCTAAGTTGTTTATTTATTTTTAGATTTGCTGAGTATTTACTACATTGTATGAGCTCAGAAGTGCGGTCATTCTTCATTAAACTAATTGCATACTTGGCTCATTTTTCTCTTCAAGACGATCCTATTTTAATACCGGCCAACACATCCAGTAATTAAATTAGTCATTTATATTTTTTCGTACAAACTTTTACATTTAAAATAATTAATTATATATTTTTTAAAACTAGATTCTCTCTTGGACACTACTGCATCGCTTAGCGATCACTTGATCATCTGTGTATTGAGCTTATTACAAAAAGAAGTGGGCGAACACACCAACAGACATTTGCCACATTATTTCTCGTTCTTTTACATGTATTGCAGTTTGGGAATGTCTGAAAAACAACAGCTTATCAGAGTAATAGTTTAATTGAAACCATTGTTATTCGATTTGATTTGATTATATTTCAATGTCAACTTTTAACATTCTTAGCTCAACGTGCCCGCTATATTCATACTCGTAGCTATCGACGAAGGCCCCGGCGGATCAAACATAAAATACCAGTTCAACGAACTCAACAAACTTCATTCGGTAATATCGGTACTAGTCAGGTGTTGTGATTGTTCAGAAAAATGTTTATCGTCCACTTCGGTGAGTAATTTTATACGAGTATTAAGTTTTAATTTTTTACAAATATAATTATATGTTTTATATTTGTGTTTGTAGAATACCCCCGTACTACCGAATCAATATGCTGAGTGCCAACCCTACCTAAGAAAAGTTCCTCAGCAAGTTAAAGATTGTATTTTTGGCCGCATATGGTAAACATCTATTGTGTGAAAATAATTTGTTTTGTTTTTAACTTTTTTTTTAAAATACAATTCTATGCTGACAGTTATTTAAAAAAACTCATTGACAACTCGCAAATGAATGATGAGAGCATGAAACTGTTACAATTTGTCTGCTGGGAAAACCCGCAGAGCAGCAGTATGGTGTTAACGGAAATTTTATGGCACATAATGTACACGTATTGTCAAGAATTGAAATTCTATTTAGATTTGTTATTTGTGATATTGAGTATTGAAGACTCGTGGCAGATGTTGCGCATTCAGAATGCTATGACAGGAAATGGTACGTATTAAATATTAACAAATTTTTATTTTTTTTTACTCTTGTACCTTATTCCTTAACAAACAAAGCTAGTATTAAGTGAAACTGAAACTATACTTCTTAGTTGGAAAAAATCTCATAGTAGAAAGTCAAAAAAACGTATAACCTGATAAATTAGGATTCCCTGCATCGAGGAGCAAATAAGATAAAGATCTGGTTAAGGCCAAGCATTAAAACTACTTTGTGGTGTTGTAAGGCCATCAAAGTTGATTAGTTATTGCACTGGTGGAGAAACGCTTCCCGTGTGTGAATGACCAGATGACGTTAGTTTCATATCAGAGGATTAGACGTAGGAGTGGGAATGTGACTATACCGATGTAGGGCATGTTAACCACAGCCACCATGTTCGACAACAAGTTATCTAATTTGGGACAGTATAGTTATTAAAGCGACTTCTAACGGAACTGAATTTTGTCTTATTTCAGAAGAAAGAGAAGGAGTATTGGACACCATATTACGCCATAAAAATCAATATCAAAGACGGTCCTATCAGTGTATTAAAGCGTTGGTGGGATTGTTTATGAGGATTCCGGTGGCACACAAAGTCGTGATCCAACATCCTGAACTCAAACGCAAATGGATGGAAGCCGTAGATTGGTTACAAGAAGAACTCAACAGAGTAATTTCTTTTTTTATATTTTTACTACGTATAAAATATAATATTAATATTATTGATTTATATATATATATATTTGTCTTGTTTAGAAAACATTGACTGGAGGCCAATACAACACTTATAATAGTTGGACGCCACAATCTAATGAAAACACAAACAGCTTCTTTTTAGAAAGGTCTACTAGTGCTCGAAAAGTACTACAAAAAGCTTTTGAATTTTGCCCAGCTGATGTAAGTTTCACAGTTTTTTTTAATTGACTAAAATTTGAACCATTTACATTTCATTGAGGTCTTGATTTTGTGTGTATCATAGACTGTCGCATATTAACTTCTAAATATTTTCTGTTGAAAAAACTCTACAATCAATTATATTAGTATCATATTATGTTTGATTGTGATTACTTCCAATTGATGACCAAACACGGTGTCATAAAAAAATTGTTGTCTTGTCTCAGGATTTCATGGCTCCGACATTGACCACACAAGAAATTGAAGGTTCCTCAGATGAAGGTGACGAAGTAGAAATACCTAATGCTACAGACAATCCTTTGGCCATATCGACTTTAGTAACCGAACCTTTACAAGTCGTACCAGATATAGTGCCACCGTAAGTATTTGTTGAAACACTTGTGTACATTGTGTGCAGAGAAAATAACATCTGTCTATTTGTTAGAAACGATGACGATTATGATGCTTCTGTACCGATCGATTTGAAAGATATTAACATTAACGATGAGGAATTTGAAGACGGAGAAAATAGTGTAGAAGTAATTACATCAACCGAGATGCATTGAACGTGTGTTGAAAATTTGGTTTACAGTTAACATGCAATTGAAATTTTTTAATCGTTACGAATGGAAGTTATTTTATATGTCTTATTATGTATTTAGAATGTCGTTTGTTAAAATTCACTAACGATCATATATAATTAGCACAACAAAAAAAAAAACGATCAATAAAAAAATCATATTTAGTATGCGACAATTTAAAGTTGTTAACATCAGAGTCTGTGTGTAATTTTAGGCTGTTAACATTGGCTGACCTAAAACAAATAATTACAAGGTTTACCTAAAAAGTTTTAATATAATAATAATAAGTGAATTGATTCGATATTATTTGTTTAAATACAGAAGTTTATCGTTGACAGATTAAATTTTTTTTTTTTTATTTTATGCTTCATATTATGTTGAAAACAAAAATTATTTATTTTTGATTTTTTTGTTTTACGATGTAAAATATTTGTTCTTGTACAGATTTGAGAAACCCTGCACATTACGAGTTTTTATATATATATACATGTATAATAATATGTACTTCTGTGCGGTGGCGTATTTCGAAAGTGCATACGCTGTACGCATCCAGTACCCGATTTTCGCATGTAAGCGTGTACTCGTGTACTCTAACCACGAGTGATGAGTACACACTCGCATTGGAAAATCGGGACGTTAGCCGTACGCACAGCGTATGCCCTTGTGACCACGCCGCTGCTTCTGCGCAAGCAACCCATCCTACACTCTTTATCCTGTCTTTATTATTATTTTTTTTTTTTTTTTTTTGTATAATGTACATTTATATTACTTTTTTTTTACATTATTACCTATTATTATTTTATTATTATTATATTATAATTATTATTATTATTATTACTATATTTATTAAAAGTTGTCAAATATTATTATTCAGCTTTCAAAGTATAAATGATACGAAAATGTATATTTTATTAAATAGTCTGCAACTAAATATGAATACAGCACACACACACACACACTCCTTTATGCGAGTTTATATATATATTTATATATGTTGTCTATTTATGTATAGATACACATTACGGTTGTTATGACAAATTGACAAATATTTTTTTTTTTTATAATTTCATTAACACAGATAATATTTGTTATTTATATAAAAAAGAAAAAAACTAATATTCCTTCATTATACATAGTTGTATGAATGGAAAAGTGATATCATTTTTTTTTTTATTATGAATTTCTTTTGTGGATTGATCGCATCAACGTAATGTGCGTTTTGTATGTGTCTACTTTCATGTAAAAATGTACACATATGTTCTACGAGTAAGGAATGAAAAATGCAGTCTAATCAAATAATATTCGAATGTTGCATTTTTTATTTTATTTTGTGATATATTTTTAATTAAAAAAAAAAATGTAAAAACCAAAACTACGGTATCCAAGGCTGCAATTTAGTATTTTGTACATTGTTAAATTCTCATATAGAAAAAATGTGTATAAAGGAAAACCAAGTGTTTTTGCATTTAATGTAATAAAAATTCTGTCTTTGTAAACATATTATCTTGTTTTCCATTGTGTGCAACACTGCGACAATAATTTTTTATGCAAATCACAATAGTTATTCAAGTTCTGTACTACAGTTGTAGCTTATAACAAGCGGACAACACGGTTTTTCATTTTGATTTTAAACAGGATTTTTATGGAGAAAAAAAATTTAACAATTGACTTAATAAAAGTTTTGAAGTTTGAAGAAGTTTAGATTTGACACTACAATAGTTATAATATGAGTAATTTAAAAGGAGACTATGAATAATATTAATGAGCACATTAGAAATATTGATGTGATCTGGGCAATGTTTATTTAAACAACGGTTATTGCAAATATGGAATACATCATTTTTAATGCATCAAAAATCGATTGAAATAAATATCTAAAAACAGTTTTCAATAATCAAGGGTGGTTTATAATTGTTTCCACGTGTATTCAAGTAAAAAACTAATCGCGTTAATAATTAAAATACTTTTGTAATTGTTATTTAAATTCGTTCGGATGAAAATACAATTTTAATATTTTGTCAACTCGATTATTTTTTTATTTAACTAACAATGATGCGTTTTTAATTTCAATAAAAATGTACCTATATCAGTTTAATTGATGCTACTGGGCATTGAATTGAATGATAAATAATTTGCCTAGCTTTGTAACGTGCACAATAGTGATATTGTCGGATGAGCATACATATTACATAAAAACTAATGTAACTTTGAATTTTTAACCTTGGGCACTATAAAGTGTTTTTTAAATGGAAAATTGAAAAGTCAATCACGCTAAGAGTTGGTATGAGTATATTTTATGTTGCACACGGGTAATAATATACTTGTGTCGCAATATGCGTGGTGTGGCACAATATATTATTATTGTTTTGATTTTATCATTACGGTCACGGGTAAATAACCATAGAAATTAAAATAGGCTTACACAGTGATACGGTTGCGGATGTTTTGCACGTTGTTTTTTTTTCCTTTTGGAAGGCCAATGTCAAATAGTATCATTAATGCACTAGGTAGGTACCTACCTTATGTAGCTATTATGTTATAGGTAGGTAAAATGGCAAACACCTGCTCTACAATGATTTAATTCCAAGTGGATGTGGCAGTAAAAATTTCCATGACTAAAATATGCCGGCTCTCCCTCGAGTGGAATTTAAGCTTTTTTTTAAACGCCAATCCGTTGACTGTCCACAGTGGCCAGATAATTTTAATTATTTTTTGAAGTCATTTATTTTGGGTAAACATTATTATCCATGTCCAATACATGTCTAATAAGTATACATAGGTGGATACGAAAAAGTATTTATTGTAATCTTAAATTTTGTTGATATTTTGTATGATCATCGATAAATCTAAAATCGAGCTTATCATATCATACATACCCAACGATACAAATTACAATACTACACATAATAATATAAATTATAATCTAGAACAATTGCAATAGAAATGAATAGCATACCGCAATTATAACTATTATCTATACATTTTATGCGTATAATAATAATTACAGGAATTCGTAATAGTTAAAATATATCTTAGGATTTGATAAAAATTAGGTACCTATAGGTTGACAAGGTCAGTAAATATTGTTACAACTAACTTTATTATTTATACATTAATTATTGATATTTGACAAGTAAAGGGATTAAAAGTAATTTATCTATACCACATTATATGTATATCTCTTGGCCAATAGTTATAGTACAATAATGTACCTATGTATTGTTTTTTTCATTTTATTTACATTCATGACTAATATATGCTTTTGACGTAGATATTTTTTAACAGGTATTTCGTAAATTGTTTTGGGAAACATTTTTGATTTAAATTAATTTTATTAAAAAAAAAATGAAAGTTAATGTGTTATTTTTAAAATTAAAATTGCGGTCTTGCGATGAACTTGTTAAGGTGGTTTGCTTATACTTTGTACACCTATTTATCATATTGTTTTTTTTTCAATTTTTTCTATTAATTGTATACATTTCTTGTGTAGTAAATGTATGCCTACTATAAAATATGTACTCGCTAAACATTTCCCAAAATATAGTGTTCTGTTAGTATTATGTTTGTGTAAATTTAGCACAATATAATAGTTTTGATTTTAATTTATGTGGTGTTAGCACCTTAGTTGTTTTTTTTTTAATAATGTAAAATTAAACAAAAAAAGTAGTTTGTAACTTGCATTAAAAACATAATATTTTAAAATTCATTGAATATTTTCACAATTTTTTTTTCTTTAGTGTATTGGATATTATTGCATAGATATTTTCTTGATTTTTACTATAGTATACGAAATATAGGTAGGTATGTTAGCGTTATTTTTTTCCCCGTTGAACTGTTAGCATGATATTGTGATTATTTATTTTTTTTTTTTTCAATCCACAAAAATTCGTACTCTCGGTCGCAATAGTGCGATTCGCGATATAGGCAGAGAAAAAAAAAAAGTTTCTTAAAATAGACCAGCCGAGACGTTGCGGATTATATGACCACAACCAACAAGGAATATCGTCAACGGACGAGGCGCGGTAACAGAGCAGCGTGGTGTGTACACTGTATATTGTTATTCGAAACGATTCGAATGAGTTTGTTTGTCGGGGGAAATTATTAAATTTTTTCGAGAATAATTTAGGGACGACCTGAATATGTGACACGATAGAAGAGGGAAAACGGCAGTATTTTTTTTGAAATCTGTACGCCACAGAGAGAGTGCTGCAACGGTGCTTTGGGACGCACTGGATCGGCGGGCAGGGGTTCTCAGCGGACGCCGCGGCGACGGGATTTGAATGGGCGGTGTCGCCGGGCGCACCCAGTCATCAATCAAACGCTGGTGCCGTGCGGCCGACCGACCTCTTGTCGCACTACATAATAGTAAATATTATATTGCATTCCGGTCAGTATACCTACAATAACCGTCCTGTACCGATTGCCGTTCGTCGTTACCAGTTTTTTTTTTTTTTCCCCCAATAAATAAAAATATATCAAAAACAAAACAACTGTACTACCTAGCGCGTATTTGCGCGATCGTCCGGTTTTCTTCTCGTGTACCAGAAGGCCTCTGCTGTAAAAACCTTAAAAAAAAAAAACACCTCAAACCGAACCGAGTTTTAAGACCGCACGTTTGTTATTATTGTTATTTTTACTATAGCGAGTGAGTTTATTTTCTCACATAATATTATGATGGTACTTTACGCAAGATCATCCAGTCCGTTCAACACAGCATCGTAAGTACCGTCTCTTATCTCAAATAGGATCCGATGATCCTTTGTATTGTATTTAATAAGTGTTCTGTGTGTGTACAACAAAATAATATTATGCTCAATATCCTACCGGTCTGAGGTGGGAATTCATGCAACGTCTGTACGTTGATTCATTCATAAATTATTCACTATGCACCTGTAATTTTACTTCACAATATCTATTATCTATGTCATTTGAATTGAATTTACAATGGCAAAGTGTAGGGTATTAGTTGTTTGGATAATCGATGAATTCGGTTGTTTTTATAGTTTTCATTAGCCCTCAAGTCTTATCTTCGGGCAATGATATCTATGGTGAATGGTATCTATGTATTTATATAGATTTATATTGATAGGCCTCTTTTTTAAACGAGATCCGTGTTGGTCAGTTTTTAATATCGGTGGCGAATGGCCGACTAAATTTGTCAAAATATCAAATATCAATGGTTATTTAGTTTTTATCATCACTTGGGGAATGCTGTTTTTTATTATATTTACCTAGCTTGTGGCCACAAAAAAATACCATCTGTCGACTGAATTCTTACTTATCAATCAACAAACTGTATGTTTTCAGTTGACAATCATAATATCTGTTTTACACAATTGTTAAAAAATTTGCTGCTTCGTTGAGCTTAATAATAATTATTTTTATTGTTATAATAACGGTTTTTTAAAAAAAACAATGGTATAAATATAGTTTACAATAAAACGGATCTAATTGAAATTACTTAGTAAGAATAAATTTAGTTTAAGAAAGGTCTATCCAGTCAACTATTTTGTTTTTTATCGTTTACTCGGTTATTGGATAAAATTACTTGTTAAGTTGTGTTTGTTAGGACTTTATAGGTGGAAGTTGCATTTTTTAGTATACAGGGTGAAAACAATTATTCTACCTTTGACATGCACAGCTCTCCTAAAATTGACAAAAACATTCCTTAAAACCGCATCATTCTATAAAGCAAAAAAACTATAAAAATAACAATGCTTTGAAAACTCACTATCAAGATACTATATTTTAGTTCTTAATATTATAACTTAATTTTTAAAAAAAATTATATTAATTATGTAATAATAACAAGCTAAAGAATTATTTAAAAATGTATGTATTTAATTTATGTTTAAAACAATTCAAATTTGACAAGGAATTATTTATATTTTATTAATTTGCTTAAATTAAATAATAGTTTTCTACAGAATTATAAATAAGTTGTGTAAGTTGTATAGGATGATCTTTGTAGGTGTTAAATTATGCACATTTTTTTAAATTATTCGAGGACATTAAAGTTGTAATATTAATGATCTAGTTATGATATTACACATTTGTATTTAATGTATACTATAAAATTATGTTTATTAAATTACCAAAAAACTGGTTAATATAAAAAATGTATGTCTTATTTAATTTTGAATTTATAACTTACTTATAGATAAATTTGAAAAAATGTTATCATATTAAATAAGCAATTTATTATACAATAAAAAAAAAACATACGAGGTCTACCATTTTTCTTGTTTTTGTGTTGGATGTAAAATGAATGAATAATTTAAAATCAATTTGCTCATTGACAATGATTGATGAGTTGCAAGGTTTTTATATATTAAATAAAAAAGAAAAACTTTGTAGCAGTCATCACTTAAATTTGGAAATTATCCAATTTTGTTAAGTTCAAAAGTGTTCTGAACTACCAATTATAAACAACTATTTTTTGGTTCG